TTAGTTGTGATTGCTGTTTTAGGTGTAAAATGACTCTGAAGTTGCCCGTGCGTGAAGGCGGTGGCACTGACGCAGTGCTCATCAGCGCATCCTTCGCAGGTGAGGTCAGGCTGAGTGTGCTGCAGGGGTGGGGCCTGGCTGGAGGAGGGCGCTGGGGCGTGGCCTGGGAGGGTGCCTTTCTGTCCCAGGCTCCTTCTTTCCTTGTTTGTTTTCCTTTGCCTTCCAGGAAACCCTGTAGCTGGCCAACTTGGGTGGAACCGGTCGGAAGCCATAAGCCAAGTAAACTCCTTTACATTGTGGGTCTTGGCTATTTTGTCCCCGTGACTGCAACGCTGACATAAGGATTGATGGCACTGTGTCTTTGCTGTGATAAGCTTTTAAACTTTGATGAGTCACCCTATTTTTGACCAGACAAGGTACACTTAAGTAACAGAGAAGTTTTTCCACGCTAAGGAAAGTCCCCTGTTTTCCTCCTCATCTCTGTTCTCCTAAGTAAGCTTGAGCGTCCTAGTTAACATATTGGAGATGACATGCTGTGGGAGTCCCAGAGGTCAACTGTAGGATCACAATGGAGGGTTACAGAGTGAAACAAACCATTTGATAAAGAGAATGGCACGTTCGCCAACTTCTGCTGTAGTTACTCATTCCTTACATTAAATTTTCCTTTTCAAATTGCTGCTTGGCTTTGTCCAGCTGATTAGACCTTGACCCATAAAGCCAAACCAGGGCACTGGGTTATCCTAAAGAACAGATGGAATGGAGATAAGCAGAGAGGAAGGAGAAGGGATATTGAAAGAAAAATGGGGGCATTGAAATCCCTGTTTGCAGAGGGGTGTGCTGCTACAAACCTGTCATCCCAGCAGTCTGGTAGGCTGTGGTAGAAGGATCACAAGTTCAAGCCCAGGATGGGAAAATAAGTGATTTAGATCTCATCTCAAATTTTAACAATGTAAAAAGGGCTGGAGATGTAGCCCTGGACTCTAACCTCAGTATTGCACAAAATAAAAATCCAAAGTTTCCATGTATACATTACTTTTCAAAGATGAAAGAGCAGCAATAAATATACTTGCTTAAACATGTAAACTCATTGAAGCAAAAATTATGTGTAATTTCTCCATAAAGCTTGTAATACAATATTGCTTGATAAGAAAAAAAAAATCTTCTGGCCATTGCCTGGGCAGTCCATCTAACTGTAACCAAGAGCTGAAGAGAAAGCCAGATCCTCATATAGCACCTTGGGCATAATGCTAAATTAATAATAAAATATTGGTAATAATGTCAGAAAAAATATTGAATACATGCGATGTACCAAGTTTTACAGGAATGACCTCCTAAGTAAGGCCCTTCCAAGCCACCCTGAAGCCAAGATCATTAGTACACTGAATCACAAAGATGTCATGCAGCTTGTCTACTTTCATATAACTGACAGTGGGCCAAGCCTAGCTTCAAACTAAAGCACTCTGGATCTAGGTCCACTGTCCTTGTATACTACCCAGTACAACTTCCCAGTCATGCTTAAAGATCCGATGATACGCTAAACAATAAAGATCTTCCCTTCAGCAGTCTAGGAAAACAGGAGAGGTGATATTTGTTTATTATGGCAGGGATTTTTTTTTTCCCCACTGAGAATAAAGAAAACCCCCCTCAGAATTCTTTTGTTTCCATGAATGGGTACTGAAATGCTCTATATATTATTCACCACATCTGACAAGGACCTGAGCATATGGACCTGCACATCCAGGGCCCCTACCTTCCAAAGTATTTACTTCTTCCCCATGTTAAGTGCTTGTGGCTATGAATATTTGGCTGCCATTAAAAAGATGCACAAAAAAGTAGCCAGAATTCTTCTCTAAAACAAAAGTTTTGTTGGGTTGTCCCCAGTGACCTCTTCTCATTGTATCTGAGATCTGTCAGTTTCCTGGTAACGGCATATCTCTGAAAACTCAGTATGTTCCACAGTCAGGCTTTCGCTCAACACAAAATATGTTTTTATTCTGGAGATCTTAGTACCCATAGGACCCCACTGGGGCTTCTAACACTTTTTAGATGTTTTTATCTATAAAGTCCTGGAGTGTATTCATTGGATTTTTATTGCTGGAACAAAACACCCAACATACACAATTTAAAGGTGGAAATGTTTATTTGAGCTCACAGTTTAGGTCACTTGGCTTCCAGAAAGAAACATCGCGATAGTAGGGCCTGGTGGATGAGAGCTTCCTTCAGGCAGGCTGCTAGCCTTCAGTTAGGTCGCCTTGTCAGACAAGCCGTTCAGCCAAGAACTCGAGAGTAGATGAATCCAAGTGACAAGGTCAGCACCCTCATGACCCCAGCACTGCTGCAGGTCCCACCTCTCGGCACTGTTGTGTTGGAGATCAAGCCCTTTGGACATGGGTTCCTTGGGGACATTTCCTGTGTAAGACACACTGTGCATAATTGCTTTTTCCACCTGAAATCATCTTTTTCTCCCCTTCTTCTCATTCTTTAAGGCTGTACCTCTGTGGGGTCTTTCCCCACCCCTTGGAAGAGTTAGCTCTGGACTTCTGCCCATCTGGCCACCACCTACCTGTTAGACATTGTCCTGGGACTGACACCTCTCTGCCCCACTGCAAACCAGAAACTCAGAAGGCAGAGAGCTGTCTCACATCCACAGCTGCTTCGCTAAGACAGAGCACGTACTCATTGAATATTTATTACCCAAATAAACCAATGAACAAGCAAACAGACTGGAGCACTTCCAGTTGATACAGGGTTTGCAGATGTGGGAGCATCGTGTCACCTCCTCTACCCTTAGCACACTCACTTTTAGAATGAGTCAGTGTGATTAGCTGAGAGTAAAATCCCCTCAAATTCTGACACCTCATGTATATTTGAAGCAATAAACATTATATGTTGTCCCTGAATGTTTCTTTAAAAAAATTGCACATTTCTTATTATCCCAAATATTATCTACACACTTAACTCAAAAGATCTCAGATACAGGAGTTCTGTTCTCCACTTCAAAAGACTCACAGGATCAAATAGTAATTCCTCTTGCTGTGGGCCAAATAATTCACAGGAAAAGTCATATTGACTATTTAGGAACATCTGGGGCACGGGGCCTCATCAATCACATCTTAAGAAGGTTTGAGACCAACCTGGAAATCTGAGTGCACTGCGAAACTGGCTCGCTCAATCCTCTTGTGAACACCCACAGCTCGTCTTCCCCATTCTCATTCAGAAGTCTAGTGATAGACCAACCACCATCATGCCTTTCTTTAGTGATTGCTACAGAAAGCCTTAACCTAGGAAGTCCAACTAAAAGTCAGATCTTTTTTTGTTAGATCTTAAGCCTAAGAGAACAGGGAGAAATCCTTTCTAAGAGTGAAAAGTCTGAAGGGTTAGCACACAGGGCCGAGCAACAACTTCATGAATCAGTGTCACAGGAGAGGCTCGTTCTCAGGGTCTCTGCATCCCCCTTACGCAGCCTGGACCCACTAAACTCCTGAAGCTTGAACACAATTAGAATTGCATCTCTGAGGATTTTCTATCTGTGGAAAAGATGGCAATTTTTTTTGTTCCCTGAATTTGAGACCGGTTATTACATCATTTTTATTGTAGCTTAATGGAACTATGAAATCATTTCTAGGAAGCAGTTGTCATGCTTGATCAAAAAGTTGAAAGTACAGTTTGTGTTACAATCTCATTGTCCAGGAAGGGGCTCTTCTGTCACATTAAGATCTGGGTCTCGCTCTCCCATTCTTCCTCTAGACACAAGCAATGCATGACTACAAAATATTGGGTGACCCATGGCAAGGGAAGGATCGCCCCCAGCTGGTCATACAAAAGAAACAAAGTAGAAATGATAATGAAATTAAAGTGTATTTATTGACTTCCGTTTCTAGGTGAAGAAACTGCATAAAAATACTTAAGCAGGTTACAAAACTAGATACTAGTTTTTCCTGTTTGGACGTGTGTGTGTGTGTGTGTGTGTGTGTGTGTGTGTGTGTCTGGTACAGGTTACATGTGAAAATGTAAAGGCCTAGACGTCTGTCTGTTCAAATTCATTCATTTGATAGAAGATGAAAACTGAGGTGGAGTGCTCTGAGTGGTACATCAGAGACAGGGAGTCAGGCCCTGAGCCCTGCAGCCTCAGCACACTGAGAGGCTGCTGAGGTCCCAAGACAGCCTGGCTGCAGGGCAGGGTGCAGGCAACGCTGTAGTGGACCCTGCCTTAGCCTCTGCGAACTGTGGGCCTAATTTACCATCTGCGTCTCACCAGCTGGGAATAACAGGCTAGGAGAAGATGCCACTACTTCCTGCTGAATAAGCCCCAGTGACGTGTGCAGAGCACATACCAAGGGCCTGGGAAAGGTGATGTCCCTCTCTCGGGGACCAGGGCCATCGAAAGCTTTTACATTATGATCATCATAACTAAACTGGGTGGTGTACAGTATGAGAATGTCTTACAATGCAGATTTAAAGGGAAACACAGGGAAGGCTTTCTCCAGGGGATTCCCCAGCAGTAACCACTTTGAGCCTTCTCTGATTTCTCTACTCTGCTGTTCATGCCATAATCTAAGTACTATACCTGTAGTTCCTCCTGCCCTGTCCACCTGCCCAAGTCTGCGGCTCCGTTTCCCCTGCCTGCTGCGGAGCTGGTGCAAGCACACAGCACAACTTGATTCCTTTCTGTATCTTCTTTCCTGCTCCTCCTAGTTCCTTCCTCTGTCTCTTGGTCCCCTCCTCATTTTAGAAAAATCCACCTCCCAACTTACTGTTATCTATCTTTTCTTTTAGTCTTTATTTGTAATTTGGATTTTTTTTCATATAAGAGAAACCATATGACATTTAAACTTGTGAGTTTTATTTATTTCCCTTAACCTTACGGTTTCAAAAGGCATCCATTTTTCTGCAAATATTGCAAATGTATCCTTCTTTAGGGCAGAGTAGTACTCCATTTACACAAAAAATTATTGTTGCCTTCATTTATCCCTCTACTTCATTACTTTAAACATTATGCTGTGCTTACTTTGGCGGCACAGATACTAAAATTAGAACCATACAGAGAAGATTATCATGGCCCCGTGCAAGGATGACACGGAAATCTGTGAAGCTCTACATATTTTTATTGCTAAGGATAATAATTAAGGATCATGAAAAATTGATGAAGATGATGATGAAGATGAGTAATAAATTATTATCCTGAGTAAACATCGTAAAGTTTCTGTGCAGTTTCTATTTCTTATTCTGTCAACTTGGGTAATCTATTCTTCTATATGGTAGGGGGAGAAAAATGTATCACATGACTTCTCCAATCCATTGAATTGCTTTCTGTAGTGAAGTATTGCAGTTCCACAATTACTTATATCCTTTCAAAAGATCTTACGAGGCCACAGCCCCACAGGATTAGGACTTCCCCTCACACCCCCACTTACCCTTAACTGCCTCCTAGACACTCTACCTGCACAAAAGCCTGTTCAACATAGCGACTTAAAGGGTATGTAATTCAGTCCCTGGCATCTTTCATCAGTTTAGTAAAAGCAAAAAGTGTTTTAAAACACAGGTTATAGGGGCTGGGGCGATGGCTCAGTAGACTAGCACTTCCCTGGCAAGCGCAAGGGCCTGAGTTCACACCCCGGTTCCGGAAAACAAACAAACAAACAAACAAAAACATAGGTTACAGGTAGGCATCCTGGCACCACTTCCTAATCCCAGCACTCTCAGAAGCTGAGGCATGAGGAGCAGAAGTTCAGGGAGAGAAATAAACAGAGAGAAGGAGAGGTAGCTCCATGAGAAGGACCTGGTTCAATCCCCACTGCAGCTAAAAAGAAAACAGCATTATTTAATCATAAAATCCTAATACATGATAAGCCTAAATTGTGGCACCCAAACCATTTCTAAGTGTAAACTACTGAGGCCCATTTAAACCTGTGACATCAGAAATCAGAAAATGAGACCTGGAAGACAGTGTGGCTCAGGTTGGCAAGAGTGTAGTCAGCCCCACCCGCACGCACACACATGCACGCGGTATTCCCGTGTGTGCACGAGTGCCTTCCAGGTGGGTGGCAGTGCTCTCTGGACTCCCGAGTGCACTTTTAAACCCTTCCTTGGGTGGCACATATTTGTAGTCATTCCTTGCTGGGCTTTATCTTATTGGCAAAGGCACACAACAATTAAAGTCGCATTGACAATCTCTGATCTGCCCTTGTGTAATAGAAAATTCTGATAAAGGAAGATTAAGCTAACAGGAGACGATCTTAGAGCTCGTTCAGCTCCCAGCTGATAGGCACTGTGCCTGTAATGCCCTGCTTAATGGTCTTTTCTCGATTGACCCCAGTGACGAGGGACCTGCAGCCTCCAGAGGCCACATTTTGCCTTCAGAGAGCACAGTGCATGGCTGTTCCGTGCAGCCCGGGCTGCTCTGCACACTCCAGTGGTGTCTCCTGCAGACTGGCAAGGTGTGTGCAGCCCAGGTTGAAGCCAGCATCACGCAGAAGAGGAACTTGGTATTTCCTGTGCTTAGTGGGACAGGTAGAAAGGGATCCTTTCAATGTCACTGTCAGTTGTCATTCCCCATCTCCAGATGCTCACATTCCTCAGGCAGCTCTTTTGTACAAAGCACTGCGAAGTGAAAGCTTAAAAAGAATTCCATTCTCTACCTTACAAAGACAGAGTGGCAGCTGATCATTAGCAGAAGAAAGAGTTCATGGATGCTGAGCAACTTGCAAAAGGTGTGATTACAGCCATCATAAAGGGAGACGTAAAATCCCCACCACCACAAAGCTGTATGCTGCAGCCCACCTGTTTGTATAGGCATATGTAGATTAGGGTCCTTAGCTCTGAGGACCAGAGGGCTGGGGGTACAGACTCTCCTGCACCTGCTCTACAGGTGCATGGGCAAGGTTGTGCCCCTCACAGGCCCCCTCTGCACCCCAAGGTGTGTGTGAAATGCACTCACAGGGCCCTGACCCACCACAGAGCCCACGGTTGCTTGGAGTCTGCCTCCAGTTGTTCCATCAGAGGCAGGCAAAAACCTGTGACCTGAGGCTCCCATTCGCTGCTTCAGAGCTACTTCCCTCCCTTTCCCAACTACTCAATCTAAACAGGACCTCCTGTGGCCCTCCCTTTCCTCGTCATGATTTGCATTTGTTCTCAGAAGCATTGGGGCCCAGATGTTATGTCATGCTAAAGGTCTTCATGCTTGTCCTGCAGGTGTGTGTGCATGTGTGGCTCATACCTGTGTTTCCATGAAGTCAAGGCTCTGTGGGTCTGTTCCGTTATTTCCCCAGCATTGCATAGCACGGATGAACATTTTCTTAAATATTCTTTTTTTAACAATTATCCTTTATTTATTTATTATTTATTTATTTGTGTGTGTGTTTGTGTGTGTGTGTGTGGCCAGCTCAGCCCACCAGGGGGGGGGGCTGGCTGGCATGTGGTGCTGTCCCTGTGCTTTGCTAAGCTTGTTCTAAGTAGGTGCTTTAGACCACTGAGCCATCTCACCAGCCCCCGATGAACATTTTTGAAGGCATAGTTTAACAGTGCTTGTTGCTGCTTCTGCAAATAAATCAGAGGAAGAGAGTTGCCAGCCTCTCAGCTGGGTGCTAAGCTTACAGTCCCATCTTCCTACATTCTTCGTGGCAAGGGGAACTTGCGCAATTGTACCTAGACTATTAGGCCCCGCTCTAGCCCTGGGTCTAGACAATTCCCACAGTGGATCCACATCTTTCATTTATCACCAAATCTCCAGTAAGAAAGGTGAAACAGAGCAGGGAAGAGGGTCTGGTCTTGGAATATCTAAGTGCTGCCATGTCCTGTGTTTTGCCTTCCACTGGTGTGTGTAACTGACTGGAAGAACACTATCTTTGCCTTTCTCAGTGATGGCTAAGGTCCTTACAAAGAGCCAATATGCCCAGGCATAGCTAGACTCAATTGATCCCTGGGGCCATCTCCCAGCAGTCTGACTCACTCAGGACCTCTGGATCACAGCACATGAGAAGTGTTCCCAGAGCCCCCCTGCATTAGCCGTGTGAGTCCTGGCTCTGAAGGTCCATGCCTTATTCCCACACATTCGCCCAAAGCCCAAAGCACCTAGATTCTCACCTCCCACCAACCACTCAGCCTGCTGTTCCCTCTGCTGGAAATAAGCCTCCTGTCTGCGCTGCCTGTGAAATCCTGTGTGTCTTTCAAGTTTATTTCCCATTTCCTGTACAGCCATCACCGCATCCTGTGTGCCATCACTGTAGCAAATGCCTGCCGTCACCCACCTTCTCCATTTGGCCTGGTTAGAGGGGAAGCTCTAGGGGCTCAGGCTCCCTTTTGTTACTATTCCCAGTGTTGAAGGCTGGAGTCCAGAGCATTTTCTGGACAACTACAGACGTCTGGGCTCCAGGACCTCAGCAAAAGAAACAAAGCCCCTTGAAGAGATTGGTTGGCAAAGGCCCACAGCAGGCGGACGCATGAGCCATCAGCCGTGAGTCAACCACAGGCAAATGCAGGATCCGGAGGGAAGATCTAGAACTGTGCCACTGCTCTGGCTTATTGCTGTGTGACTTGAAAGTATGCCACTCCCTACAGCAGTGGGAATGCAGATCTCTGGAAATGCCAGACACGTTTCAGAAAGATGCCTGTTAAAAAGAACTTACTGTACTTGTGGGGTGTTTGAAAGCCTCAACTTCAGGAACCTAGAAAGGCCTAGTTCCAGATAAATGGAATGTAACTTCCATTCCTGAACTGCTGGTAGGGCCCCACTGGGTGCTCATTGTGTGCACCAGGAGAGCTGACCAGAGATGAGTCAGAGAGCAAACGGGCACCCACTTGCTCATCTTGGGTCACCGGAAGTGAAGGCCTTCAGTGGATGGAAACGAAATCACACAGGTCTGAAAGAAGTGGGAAAAGTGGGAAATAAGCCTGCTGATGGCAGTCCTGGGAGGATCAGGATTGGAGATGGGGAGGAAGGGAGCCTTTTTCTGAGGGAGGCCACTCCAGCAAACGCCCTGGGTAGGTCTGGCAAGAGTAAATGGAACCTAGAGTGTTTGGTAGAGCAGCATGGAGCAACATGGAGTGAGACATGTCTGATTATAGGAACTGTTGACAGGGAGGCAACTGGATAGAGGTGGACTGGGCTGGGTGAAACACAAGGAAGCCATCAGAAGAGTGTGGCAATTGTGTGGCCACACTGCTGGGGTAGTCGCCAAGTGCAGTGCATCTTCACCAGTTCCGCCCTTGTTTCCTGAGTCTTCTTCAAATGCATCATCTCAGGACCATTCAGCTCATTCCTTCCTCAGACAGAGAAACTGAGGTTGAGAGCAGTCAGCAATCTGGGTCTGGAGATGCATGTGAGACTAGAGCCTTGGCTCCCAGCCTCGCGGGCCACAGTCGATTCCTTGCTGTGCATCCCCGTTGCTCTGACGCCTGCACAGAATGTTTCCCAGCAGGCTGCATGTGACTACAGACTTCTCAGAAGGCCAAGGAAAGTGGATGAGAGGAGAAGACCCACCCAAGGACCACCAGTAGGGCAGCATGGGGAAAAGTCACAGCTCCTGGATCTGAGAACCATCCTCCTAGGAGAGGGGCCAAGGCATCATCCAACTCAGAGATGGTAGCAGAGGAAACAGAAACCCTAAGACATTGGCTGGGCACTGATGCTGTCTCCTCACCTTCACAACCCCAGAGCATTCTCCTTTTTCTGCCTGCCGGTGTACAGGTCCGGAAAACGACACCCAGAGACAGATGGGTGGGGGACAGGGCTCCGCAGGAACCCAGAGGAGATAGAGCAGGACCCAGGGAAGGGGTGTTCTCTTCACACACATCAAGAAAGTGCATGTGGGGTTTACTGAGTTGAACCAAGGTCTGAAAAACCCCAGGGAACAGTGACCAGAAAGCAGGGAAAACACAACCATGAAGACCAAAGCCACCTAAGCAGGACTTGGGGTTCTGATGGTGACCAAAGATTGAGTCTCCTGCTTTCTCCCCTACAGTCTGCTGGACACTGAATATCTAACTGACCTTGCTTCAAAGCCAGCTGCTGTTGTGGCCCTGGGGACTGAACCCAGGGCTTTGGCATGGAGCTACACCAGCCCTTTTTCTGTCTTGAGACGGTCTCACTAAGTTGCTAAGTTTCTTAG